TAATATTAATATTAATATTAATATTAATATTAATAATAATCTTAATTATTATTAAGTTAGAATCTGGATTCTAACGTGTCTAAGTCAGAACATGTTAACCACTCTTTCTGTGGGGGTTTGTCATGTCTGGCAATCTAAAACTAACCAAGGAATGATAACAACAGAGTTGTACAACTCTCCTCCACCTTCAGAACACCAGATTCACAGCAATAGAATACCAAGTCCATCCATTACTGCATGTCTAGGTCAGCATCTGTGGGGTCTGCAGGAGATGGTCAAACCAGGTGAGATGGCAGACGTGGCATCATGATCCATGCTCTATCCATTTTGTACATGTTTCATCAAATGCACATTCAAAATAGGTGAAGCTTGGATTACCCATCTTGCCTATTTTGACCAACCACTCCCACAGATGCTGCTGGTTAACTTACCAACCATTTCTGACTAAGCAGCTCCAGTGTGACTAGGAAATCCAATGAAATGCTCAAGATCACCCTGATTAGCTTAGGAAGAAAGACCGTTAGGCAGCAAAATAAATGCTAGGGCTGTGCATTCCCATATGACTTCCCAAAAACCTTTGGACCTTGTGCGAGCATGAATGCACTAAGCAATTCATTAACATAGCCTAACTTTTTTCAGGCTTCCATGTATGCCTGGAAAAAAAAAATCCACTGCTTTAAGAGTCTCATTTTTAATGAGTGGATTTTAATGAGTGAAAAAAGTCATGCCGCTTTAATGAGTAACAGCTCTGATGGATACAGTAAAAGTATTCCTGGATTACTACAACCATTAAAACACAACAGGACCCACTTATATTTGGTGAAATTCTGGATGAAGGATCTGGTCAGCAAGGCTTGTTGATGACTAAATGTATGTAAATGACTACTCTTTCTGAATGAGATAACATCAGCTTAAAGAAATTGCTAGCATTTTTTTTTTAAAGTGAAAACTCTAACAAACTCCCCATGAAAGAATTATTAAATATAAAGGTAATTGTAGATATTCACCAAACAAAACCAGATGGAATGGAGCAGGAGACAGAACCAGTTGATTAAACGCCAACATAATAGATGAGGCAGATTCACTTATATCAGCTATTTTCCATTATATTTGTGAAAATATGACCTCAGTCGTGATAGCTTTCACGTATTTTAAATAAAACGATTACTAAAAAACAAGTATAAAGTTTCTACTCCTGGCATGGTCAATCTTATTTTGGCATAGGAATCACAGTTTGTGGATTACTGGTGTGCTAGGGACTGCTGTCAATAAAGTCAGTAGCGATTAGGGCAGAAAAGTGGGGTTAGAACAGGGGGGAAATTATTTAAATTAAAATCCTCCTCTATCTCTGTCACTGTTAAAAAAAATAGGATAAAAAGGAAATGATTCAGGTCTAAGATCTGAATTAAGGTCTTAACATTGCTGAAGATGTTGACCGGATATCAAAGAAGCTTCATGAGGGCTAGAGATTTCTCTGTTCCTGTTGTACCCAGTGATGGAACTAGCACTACATGTAACCAGCCTTGCTCCCCAGTAAGGGAACCTGGATAGGGAGCAGACCTACATCCAACTGAGCATCAGTTCCCTCTGGAGCTGCCTTTTCCTTTATCTGAGCAGTTCTCTTTCAGTGCTGAAGAAACTGCTTAGACCATGGGAGAATGATTTCCCTGCTATTTTCTTCTGTCCCTCTTAGCTACCTAGATAAAGGGTGTGGTGGGATTCCAACGTAAGTGATCTCCAGCTCCCACTGCCTGGAAAAGTCTGGGATATTGCATCTAGAATCCTGAGACATTTCTTGTGTAATCCTGATTTTACTTATAGTTTTATAGATGTGGAAGATTCTTAATTGAAAATTCAAGTACCAAAAAGACTTGGACCATATTATTCAACTCCACAGAGTAGCATTTCAAGCATTAGTAAATAAAACGGAAACAAGTTGCACTCTATATAGCAATCAACCTCGCATTGATTCTGTTTCATATTCTCTTTCATTAATACTGTCTAATTGGTTCAAGGAAGATAGTTCCTCATCATAGACCGAATGAAACCTAACAGTGCTCTTCCTAACTCTAGCTGTTAATTTTAAATCGCAGGCTCTGAAATGATGACCCAAGCAGGTACTTTCATTAATGAGAATCTTGTATGAGTAAAATTGAAATTGCACAAGTGTTTCCCAGCCAAGAGTGATGAACTAATTAACTTCCTACATGCTGAACTCTGGTTTCTAGATTATCTGAACAGAAATAATATGAAGTTCTGGAGAAAAAAAAAATGAAATAGCTTTAGTGTCTTTCCACAATTCATTTTCCCCAGACTTGGCTTAAACAACTATAGTAATCATGGTAAAGCCATTCATATTTATTTATAAAGTACTTCTATTTTCCATTAGGGTTTAATCCAAACTTATATGTTCTTAGCATGGGTATGTGGAAATGGGGAAATAAGAGAAATGGAAGGAATACATAAGTATACAGCTAGGATATTTGAAATTCATTTAAATCTGCTGTTAAAGTGATGATCATCAACTCCTTTCCTGGTGTGGGAGAAACATCAAGAATAGTTTCCCAGGACAGGAGTATGACAATATAAATTGCTACCTTGCACTAGGAATGAGGAACACAGACTAAGGTATTTGTTAAGCCATGGAAAAGATCAAAGAAGCAGTGCTATCAGGTCCCTTAACTACACAGCACAATGAAGAAAGCAAGAATCACATGGACTTTCTTTAATGAGTCTGAATGCCAAGAATTGGAACAGAGCATAAAATGTTGACAACTGTGATAGGAATCCTACAGGCTTCCTTTATTAGTCATTTCTTTAAGGTGGGGTACCTTTGAAGCATTGGAACCTCTTTCTCCTGGAAAGTTTGTATGATGGACTAAAATAAAGCTGTATTTGGATTCCCCTCTCTGCTAGTCATTTGTTTTAAATATACTCCTCTTTTTATCTCAGCTTAAACAAAATCTCTTACCACCAAATTTAACTTACAAAGGTTATAAGAAAGGGCTGCATGTTCATTTTGTCACAGGGTAATCAACTATCTGAAGTGTTTTCAGTCTAGTGTACTGAAGATAACTAGCCATACTGTGTCGAGTGCACAGTATGAGTTCTTCTGTGCCTATTTTTTTTTCTTTTTGGTGCCAAGTCAGTGTTGACTCCTGGCAAGTGCCTGGACTAGTCCCTGCAGTTTTTTTGGCAAGGTTTTTAGGAAGTGGTTTGCCATTGCCTCCTTCCTAGGGCTGAGAGAGAGTGACTGGCCCATCGTCACCCAGCTGGCTTTGTGTCTATGGTAAGACTAGAACTCCTGGTCTCCTGGTTTCTATCTTGGAGCCTTAACCACTACTGGCCCTCTGTTGTGCCACTACTGCACTTGTAAAGAAGCATTCTCCCCTACACTCCCAAGCTCATTCTCATACTCCCTGCTCTAAAGGAGATTCACAATTATATGCTAAACCCTGGATCGCTTAGGACTGCAATACTGTACTTAGAGTTAACCTTTCCTTGCACCATCATGAATCTGCTCATAGGTGAAGTTGAAGTGTGAATCTTTCTGTTTCAATCTCTAATGAACAGCTAGCTAGAAGAACTCTTGTTGTTATGGGATTGAGAATATGGAACTGCTTTAAGAGGCACATTTTAATGCTTCTTTGCTGGAGTTCAATGGCCAACAGATGTCTTGTTTTCTCCACTGCTTTTAATTTAGTTGCTGTTGGAATAAGCCTGCTATTTGCATAATTTTATTTTGTAAATGAATCCAGATATGTTTTACAGTATTGCTCAGTGTTATTTATTTATTTATTTATTTATTTATTTATTTATGGAAGGGGGTTTGAATATCCCACCCAGTTATATATCTCCAGCCCGGGTTGGGCAGGTGATGCTGTAGCAGTGCTGACCAAGTGCCTGGTCTGGATGGGGAGGACCCGACTTTGACTCAACCCTGGATAGATGGAGTGGCTTGGGTTTTTGGCCCCCCAGGGTCTGGTGATAAGTTATCTTTAACTCCGGATGGGATTGCACTCCCTCAGATTGAACTGGTGCGTAATTTGAGAGTCCTCCTAGATTCATGGCTCCTGCCTGAGGAGCAGGTGACAGCCATGGCTAGGGTGGCCTTTGCACAGATTTGTCATGCACCAACTGCACCCTTTCCTGGACTGGGAGGTCTTGCTCATGGTCAGTCTTGCCTTGGTCACTTCCTGTTTGGACTACTGCAAAGCATTCTACATGAGACTGTCCTTGAAGATGACCTGGAAGCTACATCTGGTCTAGAATGCAGCAGCCGCACATATAGTATTGGGCACCCCTAGGTTTGCCCATGTTACACACCTGTTGCATCAGCCACATTGGCTCCCAGTTTCCTTCCAGGTACAATTCAAGGTATTGGTTATTACCTTTAATAGGCATCTGGTTTTAGTTTTATGGTTTTTATGGTTTTATGGTTTTGTAGTTTTATTGTTGTGAGCTGCCCAGAGTTATGCTCTAAGATGGTAGCCATATAAATAACAGCCATATAAAAAAAAGCCCTTCCCAATGACAGTTCCAGAAGTCTAGCTACTAGACTCCATTAGCAATGCCTTAACACAGAAACAAAGGGGAATGAAAAGAATGCAATCACATTAGTTCTGTTGCTCGCTGTTTGTGAACAATAAGCAAATAATAAGATGTGGTTTATCGAAATAGAATAGAATAAAGGATTGATTCAAAATTCTTTTTGTTATGGCTTGTTGGTAAGAAGATTATGTTCTTACCCAGACCTCTGTGGTCTTAAGCACTCTCAGTGAAAGCTGTTTCTCATGTTTGGCCTCTTTTAGCCAGGGACTGCAGGAAAGTGAAGGCAAATATAGTTGTGCAGATTAAAACCTCTCCCAGCCAACCAGCACACAGCTAGAGAGATGGGCAGAAAGCGCAGTATAAAAGGCACTTCAAGAGTTCCAGTTCAGAAAGCACAAGGAAAGAAAAAGTACAAACCAAGTCAGTGTTCCAGAAGTCAATCCAAAGTTCAGGACCTAGTTCAAGACATCTAGTCCTGGGAATAATTAATTACATAAGTTATTTCAAGCACTGGATAATTCCCAGATACAGAGTTTTATATAAAACACTTTGAGCTTCCATCCCAAAGCAGCTACTATACATATAGATGAACCCAAAATTCTGAGCTATTGAGCATTTCCCTTTAATTCTCTATTTCACAGTGTTGTTACTCCTGTAAGCATGGAGATGGTTTTCAGTGAGAGTCCGAGGCCACAGATCTTGTGTTTGTAGGGACTAATTCTTGTTAGCTTGCTGTTCTGGACTCTGGAACGACGATTCCATCTGTTTCCAATGCTGCCCCTGACAGGAATGCCTATGAAATGGTCAGCTTCCTCCTCCACAGTGTTGCAACAAACGGGAAAAGGTGCCTTCGGAATTTTGGCCTATAATTGCTCGAGTTCCAAGATCCTTTCCTCATATAACTTCACTGTTCCCCAAGAAGGGCCCTGAGACATGCAAAAGGTTCACATGCTCTCATCATAAAAACTTGGCATGGTGGGGTATATTATTTACCAATTTTGCCTCTAGCTGTCCTTTGCTTGAAACAGCAGCATCAGAAGAAATTTTTACTGTACTTTGCTCACTAGTATCTCAAAACCCAATTCTACATTAGAATGAGTAAGTTTTTCTAGCCACTGTAATAATTATAGCCCTGAACTGGGGTCATGGACAAATACTTTCTGTATTTGTCTCAAGGCCGAAGGCATGACTCAGAAAAAATGGCATATAAGTAAGTATATGGGAGGATACCTTCTGTACATGTGAATATTATGAAATATTAGCTCCATTCTCCAGTACTGGAATTATAAATCTGTAAATGGATGGAGGAGGGAGGCATTAAGTTTCTGACAAGTTTTGTTATGAAATGTTGTAAAGTTAATGAAGACCCATAAAAAAGTAAGCAATATCAAAATTATTTTCCCTGTTTAAAGTTAAGCAATTAATGTATGATGTAGGCATACTTATTAAAATCTTAATTTCTGGACAATAAATATGTAGCAATCTCTTTTATACAGTATTGTTGTCTGTTTCATCTGTTGCCAATTAGGTGGTGTGGAGGCAGAGTGCTGAGTAAAAATCAGAGACAGCTAGTTTCGAATCCTAAAATAACCTAAAGTAATCTGACAGATCGTTAGAGGATGGCATTTGTGTAATATTAACCTGATACATAAAAGAACAATATGGCAATATTAATTCTTGAATATAACATAGCATGACAATATTTGACATATTGATGTACTATTGACTTATCCCAAAATCTCTGACCCTTCATAATACATAAGCTGACATTTGCCAAAGTAGATAATTTAGCTCAGGAAAACTAATGAAGCTTTAGCTTGCTGCAGAGGTTATATTTTAATCCCAGTTATTTTTGGAAAGAAAAATAAGCTCCCAAGCCCCAACATAGAAGTAGCTGATTATTCCTAACAGCAACAATAGAAGACAAGTAGAGAATGGTGCTTTGCAAAATAAGGAACATGGGTGTTTTTGGAAGCCTTAGCACAATGGGGACTCTTTAGTGACCCAAGTTGGAACATGAGTAATGATTTTGCATGGTATCAGGATAAAGGAAATCACAGTGATAAAAGCCATCATTTGCTATTGGGGTGGGGTGGGGGAATGCCATTGCTTTAAGGAATCCATTTATTGAAATTAAAGTGTCTCTTGGAGCATGGACCCTCTTGGCTCATATGGAAGCCTGAAAAAAGTCAGTCTGCATTAATGAAAAACAAAGAGGTCCTGTGCCCCTGATTGTGGGCAGTCCAAAACATTCCTTTCAAATTATTTTGAGACAACCCTACCACATACATTCAATCCTGTGAAAGATTTTCTTTCATATCCAAGGGGGAATGAATACAAGAGCAGTCATGGGATATAGTAAAAGAGCACAAAGCAGTCAATGACTTCAAGCTCATTTGAAATATGGTTAAACAAAAGTTCTGATTAGTCTCTAGAACAGCGTTTCTCAACCTTGGCCGCCCTCTCATGGTTGGGCTTGTCTTATACCAAACACCCCTTCCCCCCCCACCCCGCTGCTGTGGTGGAAGGGGGTGTCTGGTAATTTAG